TTTGGGGTTTTTTTTGTAAACTCTATAGAGAAAATAATTGTCTACTGTAGTTGCATTGCTACTGGCACATAGTTTATCGATCATGTTTATATCACTCTTCTGGTCTAGATGTCCCTTTTACTGAGTCCTTAGTAAAGAGTCAGGAAGCGATAGCTGGAGAGTATTTGCACCTCACAGAACTGAACGAGTATGTAGTGAAATTAATAAAAATACTTCTGTTGTATTCTAGGGTAGCATTTCAACATAGTATATTGTTTCCTGTTGCAGAGATAATTTCTGTAATGTTTAAGACTGATTTCACGTTTTTGAGCAGTAATAGGCCTCTCTTAGTGACCCTTCAAAATTGGCCTGAAAGATGTGGATGTGTCAAATTTTCATATCTAAATTCATTGGTTAGACTTCCAAGAGGTAGGCATTTGATCTCTACCTAGGATCAGATGCATTTCTTGTGTGGAGGGAGGGTTGGTGTTTCTTTGGGGTTTGGATTTGTTTTGGATTTGTTTGGTTTTTTAAGATTCCAGGTTGAACACTCAGAATCTTAAAAAATGTTACACCCCAAATGTTCCGCAGAAAATTACCTAGTAAAATTAATGGAACATATTACACACATATCTCACATTCTTTTCAGTGTAATTTGAAAATGGTCTGTTAACCCAGGCGATGAAGGTAGCCAAACAAATATTTTCACAGTAAAAAAGTAATCCTGTTTTATACTTGGAAATTCATTCTAATCATCATACCTACAACTCAAATTATTCTATTAGTGGCAGAAACAATTGACTAAAATTCCTTGTCTCATCTGGTTAAAGGAATTTTCTTTGTTCATCATAGAAATTTTTTTCTGGTCTAGAAATCTATGAATCTCATAGCTTTTTCCTTGACAGGGTAGCTGAAATAAACTCCAGCTCAGAAACATACTTTAGTCATCCATTTAGAAACAAAAGACTGACAAAATGAAGAGGCCGTTTGTTATTTCTCTATATTTTTCCTGTGATTAGAGAGATTTCCTAGGTAAATTGAACCTTTTGATACTTTTTTTTTTAATAAATTGTAGTATAGATGATTATGTTGTATTCCAGTCAAATTCCATAGGAAAATTCCAATGTAAAACCTCTTGCCAAGAAAAAGGTGAGTGACATGATGGAGACAAAACAACAAGCACTTCCTGAGCATTCCATTCAACAACTTCCAAATAACTTTAGCAGGCCGGATCCTACGAAATGTGCAAAATTAGAACAAACTTTTCTGTAATACATAAGAAATCCTGTCTAATCAATTATAGAATGTGAATGTAAACTAGTTTTATAGTTATTTCATATTAAAATAAATTATTTCCCCCCACATGTATAAAATACATTCCCAAATATTGCTAAGGAAAGAGATGTGCATATTTGTATATGTAGCTGAGACAGCTTTAGTAAAATGGGAATTTTTGTTAGTAGTCCTATTACAGAATTTTTCTTACTATTCTTGATGCATAAACAATCATCAAAAATTTCTGTTCTTGGTGAGTTGTTGGACCTCAAAGAGATATATTCCTACTTCTGAGTTATGCTAGTTATGTTTGATTTGAAAACAATGAGAAAGCATAGCATGGGGCATTGTGTAACTGATTACTTTTGGTTAATTTTCAGACAGGCTATTTTTTACAGACATTTTGTCAATAATCACTCTTGATTTATAACCATCAAAATATTTTCTATTTAACTTGTTTTAATTTTGATCTTATGTGGATTCATAGTAAGCTATCTGAATAATTTATGCCATTTTTAGTTTGATAATAGTCTCATTGCAAGAAGGTTATTGCTGTGAGGAATACTGTGTCATCGGTTTACAGATCCGTGTATGTTTGCAAGCACACTTCTGTGTGTCATTAATACTAGTACTAGAATGAAGTGCTCTGTGGACTTTTCCTCTGGGAATTATTCAGCTGATTCACCATCCCCTTGCTAAGTTTAAGGTGATCCAAAAAATGATACATTTAGGGGCAAACTCATGTCGTCTGAGTTTTATGCTTACAATTTATTCTCAGCAGCAGCTTTTTGTAGTCTATTTGAAGAATAAAGCTGAAAGTTCTAAATTAGATGCAGTCTTTCAAAATGCACATAATTTTCTAGAGGGTCAAGCAGCCGACGCTTTAAATGTTTTAGAATGACAAACAGGTTCATTCAAAGACAGATCCTCTTAACTCTTTCACAGTCCAGCTTTAGAAATAACTGTTCAAGAATGGGAATTTTCCTTTCTCCATTGTTTCAGTTCAGCTAATATTAGTGGATGTTGCCAGTAGAGTGCACAAAGTTGTACCAGGAAGGTGTACACACTGCCGTGTTGTACACTACGTTTTGTCCCTACTATGACTGACTGACTCTTCGTGTTAATAGTGTTACAGGGAGTAAACTGCAGGCATAGCGAGTTTCACTTGCAAACATTGAAGTAACTGATGCTTGTATGTTCAGTCCCTGAGAGCAAGATACTCTTAAGTGCCTGGAAACAAAGTTACTCAAACCTACCAGCTGCAGCCCTGACATTGTCCAGTACTTTTATGTGTTCTTTTCAGATCACTTTTCACTTTTTCACTTTTTTATGCTGTTCTGCAATACTGTGGGAGCTGGTCTAGATGACCTTTAAAGATCCCTTCCAACCCAAACTATTCTATGGTCCTATGTAAACCATATAAAATGAAATGTGTATAGGAATCTAATAACAGATCTATTTGGGTCTTGAAAAGTGTTGAATACTTAATTCTTTATTCATTTGCCATCATGATAAGGAAAACTGATTTAAATTTCATTTTTGTTCTTCATATTTGAACACATACAAAGCAGGTAATACACCTGGTTTCTGAAGTTCAAAATTTTATCCTTTCTGTGTAATAATTCCTTTAGATATAAAACACAGCCCCACAAGTCATGTCTTAGACAAGGTGATTGTAAGCTTTTACAATTTCAAACCACTTCTATTTGTAGTTCGAGTAAACTGTTCAGGCAAACTCTACAGTTTGGGTTGGTTTTTTGTTTTTGTTTTTTTGTTTTTTTTTTTTTATTTTATTTTATTTTTTCTCATGTTTTTAATTCTGTTCTCAGAAGGGATTTCTTTAAAATAGTGTAGGCTGTAGTAAATGCACAGCTTAATCCAAATGATTTTCTTCTTTCACAAAAAATACATTGAAGCTATAGTCTTTCTGTTCTATCATGTGATGTCTCAGCAACTAAAATGTATCTTAAGCATTAAAAGAGTTTGGAGACAGGGTTTTTATTTCTAACTTTTGTGGTTTTTCAGGCTTCTTTTTGAAACATTGCACTGGGTAACTTGACCATCTTATTAACTTTGGATGAGATGCAAAGCATTAGAAAGGAAGTAATTTTTCAAAAAGTTCCTAGGGAGTGGAGTAAGGAAGGTAGCTGGATAGTAAGTTTAGGGTTGCTAGTAAAGGTCGTCTCCATCCCTGTCTGCCAAATCTCTTTTGACAGGAGTAGCAACTGTGAAAACTATTGCAAGTGGAGCAGAGGAACATGTCTCACAGTTTCAGCACTATGATCCAAAATTATCATCCTCTAATTGCAAATGGCTCTGAAGTTTATAATTATTATGGCATAGTTTTATTGCTTTTTGTCTAGATCCCCAAATGCACTTTTTAACTTATGATTAATCTTTAGACTTTCCTACAGTTAGTAATTAAAAAGAAACTTTATATCCATGTAATAGGAGTGATTTTCTACTTTGTTAAAGCTACTTAATAAGGCTACTTATGAGTCTTAGCATGAGTAAAGATTTTATTTAACAACTTTCCAAGAATACTGCGGAAATAAACCCTTGATTTAAACACATCTCGCCACATGCATCTTTACTCTTAAGGGGAACCTCTCAGCTTCACTGAGATGATGAAAATTTTGACCATTTTTATATGTTTGCCAGGATCAGTCTTTTGTTATGTTTCTAGAAATAAAAAGTAGTTTATAACACTGGAAATGTGTAAAATAAACATCAATAAAGAGGATGTATAAGAAACTGCCCTGGACCTAACTGTAACGGTCACAACACCATGTTACACAACCTTTATGTAACTCCTGGCTGCACTGTCTAGTAAAAATTATCCTCAAAGCAGTATTTTAATTTTATAAGCTCTGCATGTGTATAATACACAATGCACTTCTATTCATATGCCAAAGATCTGCAGCCAAATTTTTTAGTATCAGCATAAGTCTCTTTTAATAATTTAAGCCCTTAATCTTCTATAGTAATTTCTTTTGCGCACACTCACTGTATGTTTTGCTGGCTTTCTGGTTGTCTGGGAATTGTTACTCATGCAACCTGATACCAGCACAAAAATGCTATTTATTTGTAAAATAAGTGTTTCTTTAATAGGCAAAGTGTCATCTATTCCTATAGTTATGGTCTGATAGAAAGAATTATAGTAGGTTTGTAATTTTTAAGAGTGAATGTGTCATTTTCCTGTTCTCCTGCTTGAGTTTTTTGAAATTTGGGTGGACATAGGGAGCATTATTACAGTAAAAGATTTAACGTCATTAAGATTTACCAATTTAATCAGGCATATACACAGTCTATTTTATCCAGGTTAGCAGATCTCTTGCCAATAATCTCTTATTTTTCACTAAGCAGTGTGGGAGCTTGGAGGACTGGGGAGTTTCAGATCTGTATGTGTCTTTGGCAGCCTGGAAGAGAAGGACACTAGAAAATACGAACAGAACCTCAGTGAGGTTCTTTCCCCTTAGCTTTTAGCCTGTATGCCTCCTCCCATGGCATCCTACATAAACTAAGGCTTTCTGGTAGGATACTTCAGCTATTAAGGAAGCAAGTTTTAAACAACTTGAAAAAGACCTGGAAAGGATTTTAGAATCATTAAATATGGAAGAACATTTTAAAGGTATTTAGCATTTTGTATGCTACCTATGTTGATTTAAATGATTGCTGTCATTGTAAGTGAAATGCTATAATTTGAATTATTCTTTACTAGAGGTTTTTTTTTTCCTTTACTACAGGTTTAAGATTTTTAAGAGCCCTTAGACTGATACAGTTTTCAGAAATTTTGCAGTTTCTGAATATCCTTAAAACAAGGTAAGACCTTTTCTTCATACTGAGTTAGTTGCATTGGTGACAGAGTATAAATGGCTTAGGTTTGTTGTCCTAGTACTATATGATTTTCTTTTCTGGAATAAAACTCTTGTTACCTGTTCTTTAAACCTTTTTCTGCTGATGAATGATTTATCAGTGCCATAAACTTTTACAATGTGATCAGTAGATTTTACTTGGTGTGTTGTTACATTTGAAAGATCTGAACAAGATTGTGTGCTGATAAACAAAAAGCAGAATGAATTACAGAGCTCTTCAGTAATTAAATATTGCTTCTTTCCACATAGTCCATGTTCTGCTACCTTGGAAAAACAGAAATCAAAATTCATTCAACAGAATATAATTTAAAAGTATTTTGTCAAATAACCATTGTTACTCAGTTTTGGGGTGTTTTTAACCTGACCATCCTTTTTCACAGCAAAAACATATTAAAAATTAGTTTTACACTGAGATATCTTTATGTTGTGTTCATTGGCATTAGCATTTCTTTCAAAGAATAATTAAAATACTCCAAGTAACTTTCTGGCTTCTACTGATATTTTGGGCTATCAATACATGAAAGTTGTGCAGAAGCATCACAACTTTGAACAAAAGATTACTTTAAAGGAAATAAAAAGGAACTTTCCCATGCCTCACAGTTGAAGACACATTGCCTTTCATCATTTTTTAAAGGCCAGGTTGGATAGAGCCTTGGGCTGCATGGTCTAGTGTTGAGGTGTCCCTGCCCATTGCAGGAGGGTTGGAACTAGATGATCTTAAGGTCCTTTCCAACTCTAACCATTCTATGATTCTATGATTTCCTAAAATGCCCCAGGTGAAGTATTGAATCCAGCTTCCACTAATTACTGTGAACTCAGTTCTATCAGTTCTGTTCCGAAATCCTATGCTCTATCAGTTGATTATGCATGTGTGAGGGCTTTATATGCAAGTGACTCAGTTTAATTGCTATGTTAATTAGTAGTGATTGGGAAATATATCCTTGAGATTTGTATATAGCCATTTCTTCGACCCATAACCTTGAAATTATTCTTTTTTTTTCTGTAAAACTCTCACACTATGTGTCTTAAGCTTTGTAACTGTAAGGAATCCAGTTCCTGACAAATAAAGAAATCAAAGAATGTGCAATAAAGCTGTGGTCCAGTAGCTGAGAGTATGGTAAAGGAGAGTGATTTTTGCAGGAGCTAAGGATACCCAATGGCTTTGCATTGAAAACACAGAACATCACCAAAAGAAATGGTAGTTGATAGAGAAGCCCCATAAACTTGAAAGATGTTGGATAAAGGCTAAAAGTCCCTTCAGGAGTGGTGGATTTGTAAGCTTCCAGATCCATAAATGAAGGGATACTGCATTAGTCACATTCAGTCTATTCAGAGCTAGCTTATTCAGGATTGGCCTGTTCATTTAAATAACATTTCTCTGGTGCAAAATTTACTCTTAGATTAGATATTATTATCTCTGTGATTATTTATATGAATGTCCAAATATCTGTAAATCCAAAATGTTGATTATTAGAAAGTCTGTAAAGCAAAGCTTCCTTATATGGCTGTATCAGTTGCCTCAGATGATTAATCCCCAGCAGTTCATCACTAACACCATTTATTTGACTTAAAATCTGTCAGTGCCTCAAAACAATTCTTTGTTTCTCTCCCTGTTCCTGGTTCTTCAATAGAAAGATGTGCCTGTTCTCTTTTGTATTGTTGCCCATAAAGCATCTTTTTCTAAAATGGATGAGTTGAATTAAAACAAATGAGCAGAATGCCATTTATCTTTGAAAAGTTTTAGTTACACGTGACATAAGTGTGACCGTGTAAGCGGTTTTTATTTATTGTCTTGTACGAATTTAGCTGCAAACTTCAGTAAAAAATTTTTGTATTTGTGTGTCCTTAAGTACCTTCACAAACAAGAACTCCGCTTTGTGTGGCAGGTACAGTTTTTCTGCTACAGTAATGAAATACTTTTTAATTGAGAGCTTCTATTTCTGCATTATCAATCTTTCTTAAAAACAAAACCAAACTAAAACCCTCCCCTCCAAAAGAACCAAAAAGCCTCACAAAACCAAACCCAAACAAAAAGCAAGCAAGCAAACAAAAAATGAACAAAAAGCAAAGAAAAAGCAAAAAAAGGCAGTGTGCTGAGCACTTGTGGTTAAAGGACAATCTTTAGTAATTTTGCAAGAGGTAGAGCAGCTGACCTGGTAGTCTCAAATTTATATTTAATTAAATAGAAAGGCCGTTCCAAACACTGGAATCCAAAGGAAGAAGCTAAACAATGCAAAAACAGAGGCAGGAAGAAGACTAGCAAGGTCATGTGGGTATGTTAGATAATTATTAGAGTATATGAAAAATTATTAATTATATTTTAAAAGAACCCATAGGGCCAAAAAAAATTTTTACATATTAAAAGACTGTACTCTGCCAAGGACCTCTTTGTTTCCTAATTTGAAATTAAATGAATTTTATTCAATATTTTTTGTTCCTGCGTTTTATGAAATAGAATGAATTGTGTGGTGTTCAGTTGAAAATTTCTCCACTGTTTTCTAATATTTTTCAACAAAACTGTAGAGGCTTGGGCAGGGCTCACAGTAAGGGATTTTGCACAGATGTTGGAAAGAGCTTAAAGAGGAGGAAAATGTTTATGACTAATCCTTCATCTATATTTAGATTCTGGCAGAAACCCAGGGAGTATTTCATAGAGAACTGAGGTACAATGTTTAATAAGTGTGCAAAAATAAAATGTACCAAACAATCATGTAAACAGTTATTCTTAATGAATGCTGTCATTTGCTTGTATATAGCAATATGTGGAGACCAACTGGCCCATTTTTGTATCAGAAGCCTGTTCTAAGTTCAGGTGAAGGATGATATTTAGTCTTTCATAACAGAGCTTTGCATCAGCATGATTTCTATGGTTTTGTTTAACCTAGAAACCAATTGGTTAGGGTCCTATGCTATGACTAAATGTTATCAACAGAATATGAAGCTTAAATCAACCATACCTAAAGAAAGAGAGAAATAGGGAATATGTGTTAATGTAGGTGAGCAATAAGTAATTGCAGAATGCTGGTATGTTATTTTTCAGTACAGTATTAAATACAGTATGCATCATATTACCCAGTTGTATTTCTTTCCTTGTACTCACAGATGCCCTCTTCACTAACTGTAACTCTTAAAATTATTTTTAATGGAGCTGATTCATGTCTCAACTTTGTTTAAAAAAAGTGCATTTTTATTGTCCTTGTGTTAGTTAGAAATATTAATTAATTCTACTGCAAAACTACTACTGCTAAGACTGATAGTGAATTTTTCCTGATTTTTATTCTTTTGGGATATATTGCTTTAGGAATAATAGCGATTTTTATGAGCCATTATTAATTCTTAGAAATGTTTTCAAAAACATAGGAGAGCTATTTCCAGTACAGTTCCATGAATGGATAAGATTATTTGAACATAGCAATATATGGACTTGAGTTCCTTGTATAGTTGCTGAATATCCTTCTTAGCTTTTGGATCATAGTGATTTTTGTAAGAAAAAAGGGAGCAGGCTTTGCTTGTATTTCTTCCACAAGTTTTTAACTGTGGCATCTTCCTCCTGAACTGAGTGAGATCCTTGCTTCAAAATCACTTCTGGCTACAATTGGGAACGTACTACTCAGTGGGACTAAAAAGAGTTTGCTGTATTTGACTGTTAAGTTTCAATCTTTTGGATGTTTATGTTTTTGTTTAGTTGTGGTTTCGTGGGGTTTGTTTGGTTTTGTGTGGGTTTTTTTTGTTTGTTTGTTTGTTTTGGTTTGGGTTTTTTTTGCCACAAATAGTCAATTGGAGTTTATGCAAGCAGAATAATATGAAAATTACTTGGGAGTTTACACAGGAACTGTAAAATACTTAAGTTTTTTAATTTGGGAATCCATAATGACAAATACAGCATCATGACATTTACAGATTGGCTGCAATAGTTCATCAATTGTTTGCTATAACTGTAGGAAAATAGTCTTGCCCTGTGGTCATGTATGTAAGTGTTAACATTTGGTGAATTTGCAACAAAACCCATTCTCTCATTGTTAATTTTTAAAGCCTTCACAGGTCTGGGGTCAAAAGACTAATGAATATATAAGAACAATATGAAAAATCAAATATTTTTTTTAACCAGTCAATTGTTTGTATAAATGCGGTGTTCAGCAGCTAATGCTAATTGGCATTGCTCAAATTAATTTATTGGCCCTGCATAGATGTATTCCAGGGTATTAGAATATTTACAGGCAAATAAATCTGAGGTGTGTAGCAATGAAAAATGGTAAGGTGAGTGTACTGAAGGGCAACCAATTTTTTTGTGAAAAAGCATTATTTATTTCTATTTGTTTGGTTATGAGTACAGCTGTAGCTAAGGTTTCTCAAATGCATGGGAATTTTTCTTTCAAGCTATCTAAATTATGCAAACTAGAACTCTGCAAGGACAAAAAATAGCTATTTTGCATAGGCTTTTAATTAAGTTTTTTAGGACCTGCTTCTCTTCAGAAATCATCATCAGACTTTTTCATTCTAAAGTATGCAGTTGCATACATGTACATATTGAAAATATTTGATAAATTCCAGTCTAAGTTCCCATTTATTGTTGGGTTTTGTTTATTTTCAGTAATTCCATCAAGCTAGTGAATCTGTGCTCTATATTTATCAGCACGTGGCTGACAGCAGCTGGGTTCATACATTTGGTAAGTATATTTGACAATACTTGTTTGGCTTTTTCTCATGAATCTTCTGCTCTCTGAGCTACCTTATTACCTGAAATTGCCTTGCTCTGATTGATCCCTTAAAGCATCTATAGCATAAGATAAACAGAGACATCACAGTTTCCCAATTTTAGGCTTCTACTCAAAACTAATTCTGAATAGTAAGTAATACATCATTAGCCTCAGAAATAAAAGAAACGTGGACTGCTGCAACTTCTTGAATGGTTACAATTTACCAGTAGGTGGCAGCATTTCCTAAATAACTACCCGTAGTGCTTCCTGGAAGGGGTTGGCAGAACTAAGAGGATACTGAGGTCCTGGGAAATCAATGGTTGTGCCAGAAGAAACCAGTTCTGTGTTTCCATGGGAAGTAGTGGGATTGCTAACATTCCAGATGTTTTTTTAAAAAAAAAAAAAAATTCAAATTTTTTTGGTGTAACTTTCAGTCAATGATAACATAGAGTTTTGTAGCAGATTTTTCTTTTTTTTATTCTGCACTTAATGATACTTGATTAATGTAAGATAGATAGTACAGAAGTACATACGAGTTCATAAATGTTAATATGCATATATAGGATAGGTATATGTCAATTGTGTATTTTAAACATTTTAAACTAATAGCTTTTACTGATTTGTTTAGTGAACATAATTAAATATGGTTAAGTGTTTGTTATTTAAGTACGTTTTATGATTTTCTTTAGAAACAGGAATATTTCAAGCTGCCAGAAGTAATAAGTTATTAAGGAATTGTTTTGGACTAATACTAAAATTTCATAATATCCGTGTTAGTCCAGAGTGATTTAATTGACTTCACTTCATTTACCTTGAGCTGCATCAAACTATGTAAGATTAAATTCAGAATGTTTAGCTTCTTGTTTAACCAAAGTCATTTAATTGTCGCTTTTACTACGGTACACCAAAATTTTGAATGTTTTAATTTATGATACACTTCTTAATCAAGGATGACCATATTTTTACACTCCTCTTAGCAAACACAGCATTTTTTTTTTTTTTTGAAACATTAGCTTTTGCTATTTCCAAAGGAAAAAAAAAACAAAACACCATTTTAAAATTGCATTGGTGGGAGGGTTTGCTATTTTCCAGGACTTGAATTTTGTTTTGTGATTTATTTTGCTTTTCAGTTTAAGTTTCTCTGTTGTAGAAATTCTTGATGGTCGAACTCTACTGTGGAATGAATTTTAGAGGGCACATTCTTTTCCTGATGATGAATTTATAACTTTATGAGATAGAATAGCTGGCTTCTTGGAATAGCAATGGTGTATCACTAAACATGTCACTAATGCCTTTAATAGGGATTGGAACTAGATCTTAAAGTCCTTTTCAACCCTAACCATTCTGTGATTCTATGATAATGCTTTAAAGCAAAAAAGATTATGTGTTGGCTCTGAAAATGTTCTAACACATTGCTATAAAATGAACTTACTGAACTACATTAATAAGTTATATTATTTAGTGCTGAATGAAAAAAATGCTTTCCATAAATAGTGTGGGTGGCAAGGCTATGCATATTGGCAAACGAACTGTAAAGCTATAACTGGGACAAGTTAGGCTCTGTATTTGTTCAAAATAAATTACAGGAAAGGATCCAGAATTTATACTATATGCCAAATTACATTATATATATAAACATATGCACACACATGTATCAGTAGAGTTAATTTGTGGTATAACTCTTATTAATTCATTATATGTTTTCTTGTACATTTTAGGTGGAGAACTCAGGGGATCCATGGGAAAATTTCCAAAATAATCAACCGCTAACATATTGGGAATGTGTTTATTTACTGATGGTTACAATGTCCACTGTTGGCTATGGAGACGTTTATGCAAAAACAACCCTTGGTCGCCTTTTCATGGTCTTCTTCATCCTTGGGGGATTGGTAAAAACTCTTTTTTATAATTGTTATTATTCCAGTTACCTTAGTACCCAATGCTGTGTCTCTCAATGCTGTAATTAATGAAATAATATCTGAATTAGTGAATTAAAATTAATTAGAAAACATTTAAATATATTTAACATATCCCTTTTCTATAGATAAATATTTTGGAAAAGCTTGTCAAATTAGTCCAGTTTAGTAGAGTCAGAATTTTTCTAATCCATTTAAATGAGTAATATATGTGAATACATGAAGTGCCTTAATATTTCAACTTATAATGTTATTTGTAGTCCTTTACTTTTTAGCGATTGACTAGTGCATTTTTTTGAGGCTGCTATTGATACTTAAAGGCACTTTGCGGTTTCAGAAGTCCTACCCACCCACCCTTCTGTGTTCCTTCCCAGAATTCCAACAAACACTGTGGCTTTGGACTGCCTTAGAGAGCAGCTTGCCTGATCCAGATGATGGCAAACCACATTTTCTTTAATTTCAAACATCCTTTCATGTCATGTAGCACAATTTTAACTCACAATTTATCACATGGCCATAAACAGTATCCTTTTCATCAAGTTCTCGTGTTCTTTGTCCTGCATGTACATAGCACCAAAGTTACTAATTGTCTGATGTCAACTTTTCTATTTATTAGTGTTAGTAATACTCTCTATACCAGCAAGGTTTATTTTGGTATTTACACTGTGCAAGGTAAGTGCATTATGGATGTCTTAAAATATATATTGTGCACATACATGCATATGTATATTGTTACTTTACTCTCATATATTGATTTCATATATACATACATCTTAGAGGCGATATGTATATATCTAATGTTATGAATGCTATATATGAGAGACACAAAGATATATATATGAATATATATATGAGCATAAATATATGCATTCCCATCTGTGTTTATTGCCATATGAAGAGAAAGACCATGTCAACTGGCAGTAGCTCTTCGAAGTATCCAGCCACAAGGAAGATGTTTGTTGGACTAAACATGGCAGAATAATTTTTATTTTCTCCTCAAAACCTTTTTTTCTATCACATGTTATTCCAATCCTTTTAAAAACATGAACTTTTGGAAAAGTCTTTTTTTGGGGGCAGGGGTTGACCTTTTTTTTTCTTGACAAGGGGAATAATCCCTGATTTCATTTTGGTTTTGCCTTCTCTTGAATCCTAATAATGGGGGAAATAAGTCTGTCTTTCAAATAGAAATGTAATGGTAATGATAATTCCTGGTTTTGGTTTTTTGCAATAGAGCCTGGATAGATTTTTTTCCCTCCCCTGTTCAGGAAGACTTAGACATAACTGGTTTTTATGATTAGACACCAGTTTGGATTATTTTTGTTCTTGTTTTGTTTCGTGTGTCTATTTTTCCTCTTTTGACCATTTTCTTATATAAGGTATGTACCTTCTCCAAGACAAACTTTTACCTTGAGTCCTCTTGTTTTGTTTGATAAGAACTTTTACATTTTTAAAATTTTCTTTTTAAACAATTGCATACATCTAATTCTTTTGCATTTTCAGATCTTAACAATATATATCTTCTGAAAATATTCATCATCCCCCTTTCTTTGGCCTCTCTTTTTAGTCTTTTCTTCTGTCTCCTATCTTCTTCTTAGGCCATGTTTGCCAGCTACGTCCCTGAAATCATAGAGTTAATAGGAAACCGCAAGAAATATGGTGGTTCCTATAGTGCGGTTAGTGGAAGAAAGTAAGTATCCCAAGAGGCTCTGCTGCCTCTGCTGCAGTAGAACACTCTCTGCATGCCATTTTCTTTTTTTTTTTTTTTTTTTTTTTTTTTTGTCTTTTGGTTTTTTTTTTTTTTTTTTTTTTTTTTTTTTTTGTTTCATGCATGTAGGCAATGTTTGCTCGCTACGTGCCAGAAATTGCTGCTCTCATCCTTAATCGGAAGAAATACGGCGGGACTTTTAACTCAACCCGAGGCAGAAAGTAAGTCAAAAAAGACCAGGTGTGGTTGTGTGACTTTAAAGAGCCCCTGAAGGTGGTAATAGCTGACTTACAGCTTATAAGGCTGTATTCCTTGACTTCAGATGTTACCACTGGAGAGTTGTCACACTGTAATTAGAGACCTGGGCTATGCTATGGTGCAAGTCACAATGTTTTGTCCCTACTTCAAGAGATCTTGGATACCACTAAGACTTACACTGACGTATCTTGTGAAAAAATGCTTCTATGGCATATGCATGTAGCTTCTGGAAAAAGGTTGACTTGTTACTTCACAGTTTGGGGATCAGATTATCATATCTAACTAATTTTAATCTCTTAACTAAGTGACAATAATAATTCACATGATTTTCAAACAGCATAGAAACTTGGGTTTACTGAAGTGCAAAATCTGAGATTTATGTTGATCGGGTTATTTCATTAGACTGACTATGTCAGAAGACAGTGCTGTTTCTTGTTGAAACAGCACATAAGCTCTCATGCAGCTCTTTTTCACTTCATATGAATATTGCAAACACTTGTGATTTTAGGATCTATGATCGGGGTTTTTAAAGTGGTTCTCTTCCACACTTCATATAAAAACTATCCTAAGAAGAGCAAGTAATAGTCTTAGTATCAGTATAGTTTGGAAAAGAAACCAAACCCATAAGAAATACTATTTTTACCTGGTAGCGGAAGTTGAATTTTATTGGACCACGTTAGCTCATTAGATTCCTATTAAAAGCCTCCTTGTTTTCTTGACCAAGTTAAAACTAGCTCTTTCTGGCATTCCCAGAATCTAGACATGCTGGGATATAGCCTTAAAGGGACTCAATGTACTTGGCAATGTAGTAGTTTCTCCTCTATATCACCTTTACTGTTGCTATCTTTTGTTTAATTACATATTGTTGTGGCTTTCACTGGTAAAGATATATTCACCCTAAAAGACTAGTTGTGTACAATCCTTTCAAAATAACTTAAAGAAGGTACTACAAGCAATGCATCTAGTTAATTGTCCTTCTCCTTACTTTAAGGTGATACTATTTTTTACTTTATTCTTTTCGAATTACCCATGCATAATCTTACGAATATGGATTATGGTTTTATCAAGTTGTTTCTTCTCTCTGTGGAGCACAAAGAGTATACATGTCCCACAGAACTAATTCTAGAGTACTATTTTACATCACTGGCTAGATAAATTAAAGTTTTTTTCATTAGTTATAGCTCATATTATTGTATGTTCAATAATACATAAGCAATTAGGTGATACAATTGAAAATACTTCAATACCATTTTTTTGAGATACCCTCAAATGTCTAAAACTTTTTTACTGTAAACACTAATGTTGGAAACATTCATCATAATTGACTTATGCAGATTAACAAAATGCCATAATTTATTTCTGAGATAGAGTAGTATCATTAATTTCCAAAAATGTTTGTTTCTGACAGAAGCCTACTCAGTTTCATATTTGTATTCATACTTGGTTTCTTGAAGAGTGAAGTTTTTCAAACAGAGAACTTACTGTGTTAGAAAACTTTTAACTTCTGTTTCTGAGGCTCCAGAGGCGCTATAGCATAGAAGAATGTAGTTTAAAACTATTTTACATAGTTTTCTACATTGTCACTAGTACCCAGCATTGCTCAGATGTCTCTAAACTTGGACCTGATCTTCAGTCAGAACCCCACATCCTGAAAAGCTCAACTCCAGATTACAGGCTTCTGCTAGCTTTGGGGCGTGCTTAATTTTATTTTTTCACCTTTTCTTTTTGTCTTTATTTGTATGCACTATCTGGTTTTAGCTCACTCTCTTGTCAGTGCTTTCTCTGCTGATCTTTACTGCCCATATAACTTGTTTGAAACTCAGCTCTGTCATCAGAATACATACTGTTCGATTTACTTTATCCATTGTTTTCTGGTTCAATTATTAATTACGAAGTAGTTTAAAGATGTCCTTTGCTCACATGGGTCTTTCATCAGAGAATCTAAGCTTGGGAACTGCACAGAAAAAAGCCATTAGCACCCCTTGTTTGATGTTGCTTTTGCAGTCAGTAGAACAAGATTGATGAAATGTTATGTTTGGCCAAAATTTAAGTTTTCATTTGGAATTCAGTGTTGAGAGAATGAATTGTCAGAACCAATAAGTTTTCCTTTGCTTGGGATATGGGCATGTGGTAGTAATTAGCAATATAAGGTCTTTAGTTGAGCAACCAAGCATAGATTCTGGCAGCAAACATAATGAGAAACTACAGTTGTTCTATTCCTAACATCAGACAGTTTCCAGATAGAATTAAATACATGTACAAAACGAAAGCCACTAATGTTGAGTTTTTGGTTTTTGGGGTTTTTTTTAAAGATAAAGCTCTTAAAATAGCAAATGTGTATACTTTTTAACTTTCTCCAAAATAGATAAATACGTGCTATGTAGCATTTATATATATGTTTATACATGTTGCCCCATGAACCATGTGGAATAACATGCTTCTATATGATTATTAAACATTTAGGTGGGAAGTTAAAATTAATATATGATAATGTATGTTTTGAAGATTGCACTGCATTGCCTTAGTTCTGTGGAGATCCTTGCTATGGAATTGTAACTGTCAAAGCAGCTAGAATGTACACATAAAAAATATTTCTACTAATTCCACTTACTGAAGAAGAGAAACAACCAACATGATGTCACGTTTGATCTCACATTTTATTTTGATTTTCAGCCAATAAAGTCCTCAAAGGACTCACACTATGAAAGAATTATTTTGCACAATAAAAAAGCTTACTTCTCTCTTAGGTGAGACACACAAGAGTTTGGAAGTGAAGTAGTTTATAGGCAGTATGCAATTATCTCTAGGTACTTTTACTAGATATTAGATACTTTTCTTAAAAAATTTTAAATTTAATTTATAATCTCCCCTTGGTAATATGTTCCTGAAATGAGACTTCTAAAGTCTCATAGAACACAAAGCAGGAATTTTGTTATAGTCTGTGATTGAAGTTTCATCTGTTAAATAAACAACAGTACTCGTTGTGCATATACCAAAATGCATACGAATATATATATAAAAAATGTGACTGAGTCCAGATTTACACATTTAATGACAACTAGGGTAGTGACTTCGACACAATTACAACCTAGTGCAAAAAAAATTCAAGATATTACCAAAAACCATCCTTGCCTGGAATTTCAGATTTTTAAACAATGAGATCTGCTCTATAGGTAGTGAGATTACTGCTAAACAGCTGTTTTGCAGCTGTTTACACATCAGCGCATCAGAAGACACTCTAAAGATTTTGCTGTGTGTCCTGACACACCAGAATCAGATGGTCAGTAGACAAAAAAACTTTGGCTGCCTTAGTTTAGTTATTTTCAGAACAAAGAAACAATTGCTTCTTGCTATAGTCATCACTAAATACAAATGATACATAGAAAACCAGATGAATTACAGACAGGAAAGAGTTTATATTAAATATATAACTATGTTGTAATTGTGAAATAAAATTCATGCATGAGAAGCAACTAGAACTGTAAAAAATATTCTTTTCCTAATACTGATGAGAGGTTTCTTAGGAGAAGAGTGATGTGGCTTCCAATATTTTCCACATTGAGTCCTATGTGGTTTTTCTGTTCTTTCACATGAGCAATTCAGTCACTACTGTTCATCCTTCCTGCCCGTTTCCCTGATTTTATGTTTTGGGAAATACTTTTTGCAAAGCAGTTATTGCACATCATATGCTTACATACTAGACAATGTTCTACTGATTTCTGTACAATTAGGTAACAACGTAGTTTACTTTCTCTGTAGAATAGTTGGCATATTTTTGTTATTAATGGACTAGTAACTACCTGACAGAGTTTTTTATGAGATTTAATGAAGTCAAATTTATGCTTTCTGAAGATGAGAAATATTTATAAAATGCAAAGTAGACAAATTTATAGTAAAGGTTAACTCTTATTAACTCCTTCATCACCAAGCACTATGTCATCACATAGTAATCTGCAGTATTATAAAGGACATATTTTACTAAAACATTGTGAAGCTTACTAGATCACTGTGAAATGACAATGAAAACATATACTTAAAAGAAGTTATGTTCAGGTAATTTCATAAAGTAATGACAAACTAGTAGCATTATGAACAGATAAATTAGTTTGTAATGACTAAACACTGGATACAAATACTGGAGATAAAAGTTAGGTGTAACGTAGTTGGGTGAAGGAAAAAAATTCTGACTTTTTATTACATTATTATAAAAAGTCTATAGATTAGTCTTTAGAAAATAATGTAGAATTTTATATACATATATAAAGCAGGAAAAGCGTTATGCTTTTTTGTTTGACTTTTTTTTCATCAGTTACAAAATGAAATGGTATATAGCTAAGTGTTATATAGATATTTCCTCTCATCCATTTTTCTCATTTTTCTTAATAATTTTGAGACCAGCAGCTGCTTCTGTACACCCTGTCTACATTTAGCTCTTTTCTTCTTAAAGCTTTCAATTTAACTTAATCTGATTAGGTTTTTTCCATGACTTATCTGTAGAACCTATGAGTTAGTATTCTAGGGATCTTTTTAGAATGATATTTTTAAAGTGAAGCACCAAAGAAGAATGAAAAGGTATCTGCCACTGTATCACTGTATCTGATAGATTATCATTTTTAGAATGTAGCAGTTAGTCTACAGGTTAGTTAATGCATCCATAACTCTGGAAGGTTGAAAGAGTCAGTGGTGAATTTAGCTTTGGACAATTTTATGAAGTGTTCCAACTA